TTAGGACACGTGACTGGACCTCTCTGGACCTCACATTCCTCATGGGCAAAACAGGAATAGTAGAACCACCTGGAGGTTACATGATCAAATCCATGTGTAGGGCTGGGTTGAGCACTGCCTGGCCAGCTCAGCTTTCAGCCAGCAAATGCTGTTGAAGCTTTGTTGAAGTAAACCAGACAAATGGTGGAACTAACATGGGGCTTCATACTGGAGGCTCCTTCCATAACCTGCAAAATGTTCACGGATCTTCCCCCACCTTCAAACAAAACGATCCCTCCAGTGGGAATCAAAATCTCTTTTACCAGAATCCATTCAGGCCCCATGAATAAGTATTTTTGAAAACTCTGGTTTGAGAGGGGGAGGTGAATTCAGGTTTGAAAGGGTGCCAAAATATCAGCCTTCTCTGCTTGTGGGCCCCCCATGCTAGAAGGCTCTGCCTGAGTCCATAGGGTCTCCTCCTGGCCAGGCCCCATTCCTGGGAAAGGTAAGCTCGCTGCACCTTATATCCTGCTCCACACTCTACCTGGACACAAATTAAGATGCTTGCAAGGACTTGATCCCAGGGAAAGAAATAGGGAGCGCTAAGGATTTTGTATGGGGAAAAGGGGTGGCATCAGGACAGAGCCCTAGACTTTCATACAGCCCCCATGACAGGAGTGCCTGAGACCCCCCCTTCCCTTAGGCTTTGTGTATCTGTTTCCTACTGCTGAATTACACATTTTTCACAAACTTAGCCCCTTCAAACAATGCCCACTCGTGCCGGGCAGAGGCCTAGGCAAGCTCAGCTGAACTCACTGCTTAGGGGCCCAGAGATTGAAGTCAAGGTATTGGCCACCCTGGGCTCTTCTCTGAGGAGGAATTGCTTCCATGCTCATTCCTGGATTTTTTCTTTTTTTAAATAAAACACATTGCATATCTTCCTTCCTTCCTTCCTTCCTCCCTTATTTGGTGATTGAACCCAGGAGCCATGACCCCAGCCCTCTAAGCTTATTCTTGTTGCTGGCAGAATTAAATTCTTTGTGGTTGTAAGATTGAAGTCTCTGCTTTCTGGCTGGCTGTCAGCCAGAGACTGCTCCTTGGTGATCCTCTCTGACTGCCCCTTCTGCTACCAGCTAGCTGAAACTCTTTTTTTAAAGGCGCATGTGGGTAGACTCAGCCTGCACAGATAATGTTCCTTTTGCTACATATGTAACAAAACCATGGGAGTCCCATCTCATCACAGTGGAAGGTTCTACTCACTCAAAAGGGAGGAGAAGAAGATAAGGACAAGGGTCTCTGGGGGCCCTGCTTAGACTCCTACCCACCAAACCCAGCCTCCCACACCTAGTACCTGCCCTCTTGAGGCCTGCTCTCTTGAGGCCTGGGCCAGTCACTTGGCCATCTCTGGCCCTCAGTTTTCCCATTTGTAAATAGGGAAAGGAGCTGGATGAAATTGAAATACCCTCTCAGGACTCACATAATTGTGACACAAGAGTTTGGACTGTGAGGGCCCCACTGCCCAGAGAATCAGGAAGATGGTCTCTCCCAGCACCACTTCCATATTGACCTCTAGAAGGGCCACAGAGGATGAGCAGTAGTTGAGTCAGTCATTCAGCACAGCATAGATGTCTGGCATAAAGGGTCCAGCACCAGCTGGCTGTGCAGGGGAAGAGCAGAGGGGCCATTTCAGTCAGTTGGAGAACATGGATGCCTGTGGGGCCCACTGACTGTGGGGGCCCAACCTGGAATCTACACAGGGCAAGTGGCCTGATCTAGCTGGGGGTGGAGTGGGGCAAAGGGCAGGTCAGTGAGCCATCAATCCTTTGCCTCACTTCTCAATTCCAGCTGGCCTCCAGTCCCTTCTCCCAAACTTATGCTGTCTGCCCTATCGTGGCCTCTTGGCCTTCTTGGCTCTTCTTGGCTCTCCCACCCAGCCCTGGGTGGTCAGGGGTACTTGATCTCAGCTTCCTGGACCCTCTGAGAATTCCTAGCAATCCCTGAGACCCCACATCCCACAAAGGAGCAGAACTCCATCTTTCTCCCAGGCCCCTTCTTGCCCTCCCCAAGGGCCACTTTCACTTCTGCACACACGCTGTATTTGGAGGGTCCCCAACCCCTTGTCCCCGCCAGGCTCCCATCAAGGCCCAGCAGAGGGACTGGAAGGAGACTCTCCCCAACTATCTAAGCGCGGGAGCTGGGTAAGAGGTGGGGAAATGAATATTAATTTATCATGATTAGGCAAATCCGGCAGGGAGAGCCGATTCAGGCGGAGGAGGCTAAAAAGATGAATTTCAGCAATAAAATTAAATAAGGACGGACGAGCAGCCCCTCCTCCCTCCTGCTTTGCTGATCTCTCTCTTTCTTACAATTTATGAGGCCAATTATGAAGATGAGGTTGGAAGTTCCTGGAACTTCACTAAATGCAAACGGCGGTCCCTGCTGTTCCCATCAAATTAATTAACCGCACGCTATTGATGGCCGCTCAAGGCTGACGCAGGCGGCCCGCCCTGCGGCCTCCTCCATGGACAGGACCCAGAGTCGGGGGCCCAGCTAGGGCTCAGCAACCTCCTGCAGTCCCTGTCCAGCACCATCAGGGACCCCATCCAGCCATGGGTCTGCTTGAGCCCTTGATGACACAGGGGCTTGCACCCACAGGCCTAGACCCACAGGGAAACTCACACTCAGATACAGAATCATGAGCATGCAGCACACAAACACAAGGCCCAGGAATCTACATTAGGTGCATAGACAAATGACCACACTGTCAAACACAGGCACTTACCCAGGGGCACCTACACATGCACAGTGCTGGCCATGCTGAGGGGTCTGGAGAGGGTGCAGTGAGGCTGAGCCAGCTGGCTACAGGAGGTGCACTGTGTCTGGGGCTGAGGGCCTGCTCAGTCAAGGCTAGGCCCAAGTCCCACAGGCAAAGGTGCCACCACGGGTTCCACAGTCACCTAAGCAGCAGAAGTGGTCCTCCTTGGCTAGTTTTGGTTCATCCCCCAGAGGCATTCTCACAGACCTCCTCTAGCCCTTCAACCCTCATCTTTGGGTCCACTAGCTTATGGGTTCTGGAGAACTAGCTGGCTGGTGTTCAGACTGAAGGGCAGTGGGTACAGGAACAAAGGTCTTAAGCCTAGGAGCCCAGCCTGGGCTGGGGCAACTCCCACACACATCTGCAGTCTGGCCAACACAGGTTTGCCCACAGCTGCAGCTTCCATATGAGGTACAGCTCTGCAATGATGGAAACCCCTCCACCCCTGCTAGGGCAGTGATGCAGCCCTTAGCCCTATCCAGAGGACTCCCATTCCATTTAAAGGGGCAGGAATTCCATGAGTTAGGAGAAACAGTACAAAGGGCCTAGGTTTTCCATTTCCAGTCCTTGGAACTGTGGGGCTGGATATGGGTGGGTCTGCCCACCTTCCCATGCACACTCCAGGTACCTAGCCCTGCACCTGTACCTGTTCCCCATGAGTGGCCAGGATCTTTGGCAAGTTTGGTCAAACTTGTTCTCCTTTCATTGCAAGGCCATGGCCAAGATCCATGTCATTCACCCAGGCCCTAGGTAAAAATGAGGCCACCAGTTTGGCAGAGCTGAGGCAGAGCAGCCCAGAGAGTATTTGAGTCTTGGGCACAAAGTATCAATAGCAACTGAAATTAAGGGAAGCATCTGCAGTAGCCCATGCAAGAAGGCTGGGACCCAGGGTTTGTCAGCCACCTGGCCCTCCCCTTCCCTGGCATGAGCTTCCCCAACCCACACCACAGCTGCTCTTCAGAGGATTTCTGCCTCTGACAGGCTGCACGCACCCACCATGCCTTTGCTCACTTCATACCCACACAGGCTATCAAAGCTCCACATTGCAGGAAAAAACTGACCATGAGCATAGTGCCTTAAGACAATGTAAGTAGTTATATCACAGTTCTACCATTAGAAATCTGACACAGGTTTTGCAGATCTGGGAGCCAGTATCAGCACGGCTGCATACCTGGTGGAGGCTCTAGAGTGGAATGTGGAGGGTTTCTGGTGAAACCTTCTTCAGGCCGCCCACATCCTGCATTGGTGGCCCCTGTTTTCCACCACTGAAGTTGGAAACATTGTATCTCTCTGACCCTTCTACTGTATGGCTGTATCTGAGAAAGTGTCCCCTTTTTACAAGGGGTCCGGAGAATAATCTGAGAATTACCCATGTTAAAATCCTAAATTTTTTTTTCAGCACTGGGGTTTGAACTCGGGGCCTTGTGTTTGCTGGCAGGTGCTCTACCACTTGACCCATGCCCCCAGCCCTTTTTTCTTTTAGTTATTTTTAAAATAGAGTCTTGCTTTATTCCTCGGCCAGCCCAGATGGCAATTTTCCTAGTTACGCATCCTATGTAGCTGGGATAACAGGTACATGCTACCATGACCAGCTTTTTATTGACTGAGATGGGGTCTTGGGGACTTTTTGTCCAGGTTGGCCTTGAAGCTCGATCCTTCCAATCTCTGCCTCTTGAGCAGATGGGATTACAGGCATGAACTACTGTACCCCACAAAATGCTTACCCTTAATCACATCTGCTGACTCTTTAGCCAAGTAAGAAAACATCCACAGGCTCCAGGAACATGGATATGGACATCTTCAGGGATGGTTTCTCTGTGGTCTGACCAGGAACAGCCCTGGCTCAGGGACAGACTAAGGGCTGAAGCAGGCTCATAAGCTTCCTCTCATTGGGATCAGTGGTGACTGGGAGGTAGGTTTGTGGGGTGCTGGGCAGGACCCCAGTTCCTTCCAGGACTCTGTAGTTCAATCTCCCTTTCTGGCAGGTTGAAGGCTGTTCTGACAGGAGCCAGGCTCAAGCTCTCAGGTGGCTGGAGAACCCTGAACTCATTTTTTTTTTTTTTGGCAGTCTGGGATTTGAACTCAGAGCTTGCTAAGCAGATGCTCTACCACTTAAGCCACTCAACGAGCTCTGTTTTATGATGGGCTTTTTCAAGACAGAGTCTTGTGAACTATTTGCCCTGGCTGGCTTTGAACCACAATCCTCCTGATCTCTGCCTCCTGAGTAGCTAGGATTATAGGCATAAGCACCAGCACCCGGCCTGAACTCACTTCTTACTTAGTTTGAACTCCAAAAACTACCCCTTCTTTCAAACTGAAGCCTTTTCTAAGACACTGAGCTTCCCTGACTCAGTTGTTCTCCTGGTTCCTTCTGTTACACCGAGCAGCTAGGTTATCATGCCATATGGGTTCCTGGAGGATGTGGGCACTCTCCCTCTTCAACCCAGGATTTCCCATTGCCATTGTCAGGAGGTGGGACCAGAAGTCTGTATAGTTTGAAGGCACACCTGAATTCTGAGTCTCATAGGGAAAAGGGTAAAGGCAAATGGGAAGGGTGTCAGAAATGGGAGTGAAACCCCTTATTTCAAACAAGACAGCTCTATCCCTTCTAGTGATTTTTGAGAAATTCCTGTGTGTAGAAAGTTACCCGTGACTCAGTGCCCATCAGCCCGTCTTGCTCCCAGCTATGACAGCCCAAGGATAGCCTTAAAAGCTGTGGGGCCCTGGGAATCACCAGCTCCTCTTCTGTTCTACCCAGGGCACTATGGCCTCCCTGAGAATAGGAGGTCTACAGAGAGGCCCACTGCTCACAAGGGCTTTGGGACCTTGGATATGGCCACCGCTCAGGTTGGTAATGAACTCCAAAGAGACCCTCCAGACACCACAGGCAGGCATCTAGGCTTGAGTTGGAGGCTGTTTCTTAGGTTGCTAGGATCCCAGGAATCTTTGGGATGTTGTTTTCTGAGACAGTCTTGCTATATAGTCCAAGTTGGCCTCAAAATCATGACCTTCCTGTCTTAGCCTCCTGAGTAGCTGGGATTTACAGGCATGTACTACCATACCCAGCTGGGTCTCAGGATTTGACACCAGGGAGGGAAAGGTCAGCTCTGGGACTCTCTGAAGGTTACTGACAGAGATGCAAGGACTCCACACATACATACACCACCTCACACTTAGCACACTAAAGGTTGGAGCCCACCACTGGGCCTAAGCTCCCTCGCCTTCACCTCAAAATCCCCCATGTTACGGAGCCTTTCCAGGTTTCTCTAAGACAGCTTTCTCCTATCTCTGGGCCTATCACTCTTCATATTTCTTTCCAGACACACCCCCTCCTCCCAGTCCCTCCGGTCTTCTGACCTGCAAGGCCCAGCCTCAGAAACCCTGCTAAATGCACCTGCAGACTTGCTCATATTCCTGCCTGCTCTGCCAAACCTAACCCTATAGATTCATTTTCAAGTCTCTGCCTGCTTGGCCTCCTCCTGACTTCCAGCATCCTCTCTAAAGCTGGATCTTAATTGTCCCCAAACAGAGCTGCTGACCCCTTTAAAACAGGCAATTTCCCTTCCCTCTTCCAGGCAGCCTTCCCTGATCACCCCATCCCAGTCAATGGTACACAGACCACCATGTTGTTTGTAATTATTTCCTGTAAGCCTTGTCACCTTTGTTTCTCACAATAGCCTTGTCTTGGGCAGGGTCCATAGGAGATTCTGATGGGTGGATAGAGAGAAACCCCTAGTGCCTGACTCCCTCTTAACATTCACCTAAAACACCATTTTGGGTTCAGGAGCTGCCTCAGCCAGGCCTGGCTAGAGGGCAGTCAGTGCAGCTTTTCTGGGCTCTACCATTCAGCTCCCATCTCTTTCCTGCTTGAGTGGAAAAAGGGGGCTGCAGCAGCTTAAAGACACCAGGCAGGTTGAATGTCAAATGCACTTTACTGGGCCCTTGGGTCTCCAGATGTTGTCATCATGGAGCCTGTGGTACCCTTTCCCAGCAGCTCCAGATGCACAGGAAGTGGGATGGGTGAGGAAATCCATGTGGAATGGCTCTCATTCTCCTACTCGGAAGGGTCTTGGATGATGCTGGGCCTGCAGCTGCTTCCCTCTCCCCATGAAGCCTTTCTTCCACCCCCAGCAGCTAGCTCTTTCTCAGGGTGGGAAGAGGGGATCCTGTGCCAGCCACCTGTTCCTGCTTAAATGGAGCAAGGGGCCATGTGGAAAACTCTACCAGGGGCAGTGGTGAGGTTGAAGGGACAGCAGCTTGATCTTGTCTGGGAGAAGAGTAGGCAGGCCCTGGGAGCCAGGCCCAGAGAGCCCAGGCTCAGGCTAACTGAGGACAGCTGGTGGTTGCAGTAGTAGAGTTCAGCCAGTAGATGCTGGAGGGGTACTGGATGGCCAGGCCAGGTGGCCAGTCCAGTGGGCTTCCCTTTCCTCCAGCCTTGGGTTACCAATCCCGCTCAGCTGGTTCTCGGTAGGGTAGGCCTAAGATCCTAAAGACATCCTTTTCAGTAGGGGTGGGCAGCACTTGGCCATGCCCCACCTTGAAGCCTTGGGTATTCCGTACCACAGCTGCACTGAGGGCATGTTCTGTCAGGCTCATGCCCTTGGTCTTGGCCAGAGCCCGCATGGACCGGTTGAAGTAGGCAGAGCCAGTAAAGTAGAGCAGGGCACAAGCAAACTCACTGTAGGGCACAACAATGATGTCCAGTCGTCGGTGCTGCCGTCCTGGTCCTGGGAGCTGGCACACACCCAAGTACTTCTGTTGTTGGCCATTATCCTCCTGGCTCACCAAATCATCTGTGAGAAACCCTGGCAGAAAACAGGGGATAGCTGGGAGGGCAAGCAGTCAGGCTCTGGACTGCCCGTCCTCTCACATCTCCTAGTCCCCTGCATTCTCTTTTCCCATTTCTATACTGAGAGACCCTGCTCACTCTGGGCGCATCTAATCTGTGAAATCCCATCTCTGCCATGGGATAAGACCTTCAGCCTGTGGGTACTGCTAGGCACCTGTGTAACCTCCTCGAGAAGACCCCTTCTATGGCTGCCCACTGTCAACCTACCCTCTCAGAGATGGAGCATATACCTTGCTGCCGGAGGCTGTTAAGGAGGTGGCTGAAGATGCCCTGGTGAGATCGGCCATCTGGGTGAGTGATGAGCACGTCCACATCACCACAGGTTGTCTTTCCCCGTCGATACGAGCCACAGGCTATACACAGCAGCCCCGGGTTGAAGGTCAGGGCTGACACCCGGACCTAGGAAAGAATAAGGAGATGTGAAAGGCTGTTGGCTTCAAGCCCTCTAGAGAGTTCCTCCCCATGGCAGCAAAGGGCCTTTCCTGACCCAGTGGTCCACATTACATTCCAAGCCAATTCCATGCCTGCTGCCAGACTGAGGAGATCCATCCCAAGGTACTACTGTTTCCCAGCTGCATGGGGCCAGAGGAGAACTCTGGTGCTGCAAGGGCAAGCTTCTAAGGAGAGCCTGAAGATGGAGCTCTGCCTCTGCAGGAGGGTACCCTTCTCTGCCCCAGGACCTCTTTAAAAGCAGAGGACATTTTCTCTCAACCCAGGCTCCAACCCACAGCCACGTGCTCAGGTTTATGAAACTCCACTTAGGACAAGGGGCCAGGTGCAGGAAGCCCACAGCCAGGTACTGGTAGCTCCAGTTGTCTATGGATTTGTAGCTGAAGACAGAGCATGTGAGATGGGGCTTGAGGCCTAAGCATGTGGCTGGCAGCAAGCCCCAGCCCAGGCCTGAGAGGAAATGGAGCACAGAAATTTAACTGCACCTGTGGGAGAAGAAAGAAAGGAAGAGGGGCCACCATCTGAGCCCATGCTCACATCCCTCCTGGAAGGGACTCCAGAGAAGGGGACTGTCAGCTAAAGGATCATCCCTCATTGAGGAGAAATAAGCCCATTAGCCTCCACCCAGACACTGAGGCCTTTTATATTCAGATGCATCCCCGCCTCCACCCCAGGAGAGCAAAGATTTCTGGGGCCCTGCATACTCACACAACCAGGACACCTCAATTCCCCTGACAGGCAACTCTGTTAATCCCTTCAAGCCCTTCTTGGGCCTCTAAGGAGAATGGGAGGAGGAGGCCCAGATGAGTAATCCCATTAAAACCCCTAAATCTGGAGCCCTACATGGGGGAAAGGATGGGGGTGGCAGGTGGGAAGCCTCTTCTGTTTAGATGAGCTGAGGGCCAGGGGCTGGCCAGGCATTCTCTGTGCCTGGACACCATGGCTGAGTGATGGTGTCATCACTAGCACCATGGCCTGGTGATGGGTGGACAAAGAGGTCTATCCATTTATCCAGTGCTGGCCTCATAGTCCCATGGCCTAGAGGGAGCTGGAGGCTGATTCAAGGAAGACAGACCAGTCTTCCTAGAGTCCTTCCATTACACCCTTCCTTGGCCAAAGTGAACAAACCTTGCCCACACCCCAGACCGATTCTGATGCAAGCTGAATAAACAGCACAAGTAGTCCTAAATGTAACCTGCTTATCTCTACTCTAGATTTTATATAAACTTAGTCTCTAACCAAGCTCTAAAGCAAACCTTTATCTTGGTCAAACCTTATTTCTTGGACAACTACAAATCCTTTTTTTTTTTTTTTTGCAGTGTTCGGAATCAAATCCAGGGCCTTGGGCATGCTAGGCAAGTGTTCTACTGTTGAGTTACATCCTCAGTCAGTAACAACTACAAATATTAACTCAATAGCAATCTGTACTAAGGAAGCACAGAACTCCTAACCAAGGCTTAACCTTAACTAAATCTTGATAGCACTTTCTTCGGATCCCACACCTAAACTTACAGGCACTATGCTTCTAGACCAGCCCCAACCTAACCCCGACCAGTCTTGGGTGGGTTTCACAGGGTCCATACATCTGAAGAGAGATATAGAACTTGGCACGTTTGTGCACTGTGGAGAAGAGTCCATAGTTTTTAATCAGGTTCTCAAAGACATCTGTGAATCAATAGCATTAAAAAACTATGCCCTGATTCACCCTAACCTAGACCTATTCAAACTCCCAAATCCCCCAGTACTTAGGACCCTGTCCTTCTCCACTCTAGGCCAACAATGCTGAGTGCTCACACTGTCTGACATTGGGAATTCCCATCCAGAGGGTTGGTGTTGTAGCTCTCTCCTCAGCTACCCACCCTTCTCTAGGCCTGCAGCTTCTGTCCCAACTTGCTCTTTCACCAACCTCTGGTGCCCCCCAGCTTCCTTTACCTACAGGGCTTCCCAGCTGAGGGATCAGGGGTTCTTGGCTTTAAGCCAGAACCCTGTAGCAGGGCCTGGCTCTCCTCACTGCTCTGGGATACCTGCTTACCATCTGCTCAATCTCTGCAGCCTCTTCCCTGGGCATGCGCTGTAGGAAGTCATCGTAATGCTTCAGGCCAATAGCCTGCTGGGTAGTCAGGGAGGCCAGGCTTCGGATGTCTTCCAGGGTCCGGAAGCCCTAAAAAAAAGTAGCCAGAGGGAAGGCTATGAGGATCTACAACCAATGAAGTGGCATAAACAGGCAGACACAGAAGGTGTCTGTCAACACACTCTACATAAGGCCTGAGGCAGAACCAATCCCAGATCAGGCAGGTCTTTACTCAGTAGGGCTTGGGAACAGCAGGGCATGGAGGCAAGCTGTAATTCTGGAACACTGTTTCTTGACTCCTTAGTTTGGAGTGGGCCTGGCCTTCTTCATTGTCACCAAGCTTCCCAGGTGATTCTGGGCCAGGTTTGGGAGCCACTGCTCTGGATGGACATGAAGCTCCTTGGAAGGCACTTGGTTAGTCTTATGGACAGCAACTTGTTTCTGCCTACATCTCAAGGATACCAAGCCTCAGGGCTGTTCTAGGAGACAGGAGAGGGGCCTATATGGACCCTGGTGCTCTTGAAAAGTGGTCTCCCTGTAGTCTGGGTTCATTCCCATCAGAGCACAGGGTAAAATGGCACCCAGGTCACCCCAGATCCCGGGGTGAGGGGGAGAGCTCTGGGGGTAGAGGCTCTGAGATACAGCAATACTGAAGTGGCAGCTGGGCTATGGTATGACCTGATGGTACCACATCTGAGCAGTCTTGGTCCCAGCTCCCCAGATGTTGGAGAAGAGCTCCAAGACAGGCACACTCTCGCTAATATGATCCAGCTTCCGCAGGTGCCCACTGTCCAGGATCTCCATGATCTTCTCAGCCATCCGCTTGCCAACCCCAGGGATGCTGCAGGCCTCCTAGGGGAGGAGGTGGCAGAGGTGAGGAAGAGAGTGAGAAGGTGGGAGAGCCAGGGGAACTCCTTCAGCAAATGTCTGCCCAAAAACCAGCCTGGCAACTGTGTGCCTGTGTAGAGCTCAACCACAGGTGAAGAGAAGTTTAGATGAAATATGAAAACTTGTCTTATGGTTCATGGAGGGACCAGCAATAAGAAGTAGGGAATACTACTTATTGCCAGCACTGCCATCATTATCATTGCACCTGTGAGAGCCAACACTTACTGACAAGCTTACTATATGTCAGTTCTGTGCTATAGGGACCATCTCTTTTCATCCTCACTATAGAACTATGAATGGACTACTACGGTTAATTCCTTTTTATTGATAGGAAAACTGATGCACAGAGAGTTTAAGTAACTTGCCAAGAGTCACAGTTAGTGACCCTGGTCTGTTGGGCTCCAGAGTCCAAACTTTTGTTTTAAACTGTTTTGTTTTTTGCAGTGCTGTGGAACAAACCCAGGGCCTTGTAGGTAAGGTACTAAGTGCTCTACCACTGAGCTACATCCCCACCCCTTATTTTTTTGAGACAGGATCTCGTTATGTAGCTTAGGTTGGCCTTGAGATCCCTGTGTAGCCCAGGTTAGCCTGCAATTTGTGATCCTCCTGCATCATCCTCCTGAGTAGGAGGATTACAGGTAGCACCATGCCAGGCTTTAAACTTTTCATTTCTCTTTTTTATTAGCACATATTAATTGTTCAAAGGGGTTTCATTGTGGTATTTTCATACATGCACACAATGTATCTGATCAAAATTCACTCCTCTATTACTCATTCTAAACTTTTTTGTAGTGTTGGGACTTGAACTGAGGGCCTACATCTTGAGCCACTCCACCAGCCCTTTTTTGTGTTGAGTTTTTTCGAGATAGGGTCTCGAGAACTATTTGCCCAGTCTGGCTTCAAACTGTGATCCTCCTGATCTCAGTTAGGATTATAGGCGTGAGCCACCACATCTAAACATTTTATAATGTAAAAAACTCAACTAGAGAGAACAGTATAATGAACCCCCAAGCACCCATCACTCATCATCAATTATCTAGATTTTGCCATTCCGCTTTAATCAATCTCCCATTTTGTTTCTTTTTTTTTTTTATTTGGGAGGGGGCAGTACTAGGGTTTTGAACTCAGGGCCTCAGCTCTACCATTTGAGTTACATCCCCCAGTCCTTTTTGCTTCCATTATCTTGTAATAGGATCTTGCATTTTTCTTCTGGGCAGCCCTAACCACTATCCTCCTGCATGGCTGGGATGACAGGCATATGCCACCATGCTTAGCTTTTTATTAGTTGAGATGTAAGCTCTCTGACTTCTTCCCTGGGGGGCCTTGAACTGAGATTCTCTGGATCTTTGCCTTCTAAGTAGCTGTGATTACAGTGGTTTGAGCCACTACACCTGCCCCACTTTGCCTCTTTTGTGTAAATCCTAGCTATCACAAAATATTAACCACTAAATCTGATGTCCACTGATGACTGGTGCCTCTACTAACTCCTAGATGGTACAGACAAGACACCCCAGCCCCCAAGTACCTGATAGGAGCTGACAGGCTTGTGGAAGCTCTTGAGGGCTTTGATGGCCTTGGTGTAACCCAGGGCCCTCCACTTGTCTCCCTGGACCCTGTAGGCTTTGGCCAGCACTTCCAGCTTCTCTGTGATGTGCAAGTTGTGGTTGGTTGCCTTCTGGCTCGAGGGCTGTGCACAGACCCACTTATCCAGGGCCTCCGGGGCTGGGTCAGGCCCAGCATCTTCCACGGGGGTGGTAGGGTAGTGGCCACTTCTTAGGGCTTCCAGATCAGCAGCAGTAACCTGGGGCCCTTCCCCATCACTTATTTCATCATCTGAACTGGGCTTGAGGTAGAAAGGGAGAAAAGACAATAAATTCTTACTCTCTATCAGGAGGGCTCCTCAGAAGTGGGGAATGTGCTAGGATCTTCAGTAGTATGTGGTAGATATGGCTTAAGTGAATACAGGAGTGATGGGTGTTAGAAAGGGCTAAATAGTTTCATAATCAAGAGAGCCCTCCGATGCAGGGCATGAGACTTTCTCAATGACCAACAGGACCTCCTTGTATTTGTGATCAGGTTCCTAGGTTGGGAGGGTTCTTACCTGGACTTGAGTGCTTGGTGCCTCTTCTGCCTTTCTGGAAGGAGATACATCTCCAGTGGGAGGAGAAACAGCTCCAGTAGGAAGAGAGGCAAGAGAGAGGGCTGTCCTAGGCAAAATGTCGTTGGTCCCAAGAAGGGCAGAAGAGTCTTGTTCTGCTTTGCTGGACTGTGGTTGGTCTAAGAACCTGGGGAAAGGAGGTTAATAAGAGGTTAAGACACCAAAAATTTTACCCTATCTCTGTCCCCATTCTTCTCTACTCTGAAACCTTGGTTTCCTAATGTGTCCAATTTAAAAAGAGAATTTTTTTTAATAACATGAGACTGAAGATGCTACTAGAAAACATTTGAGAAAAAGACTGGGATCAGCCCACCTGTGGGGGATGAAAATGCTGAATCCAGCTGTGTCCACCAGTCTTCTCTCCTGCAGGCACAAACTTAGCCAGGCTGATTTCACCAGTTGAACACCTGGGGGCAGCCGGGACAGTCTGAGGAGGCGGAGGGCCCGCTCACAGTCCATGTCTTCATCCACCACAATGTGAGTAATCCCTGGAGCCTGGGCAGGGCATATCTGGCCACCATGCTGGACAATGTGCTTTTCAAAGAGTTCTGCCCGAGCTCGTCCAATGCCAGTGGGCACTATGTGGGCCTGCAGGGAGCTCAGCCACTCTGTGGAAGGGACATCCAGATGCCTATTATCATAACTTAGATACAGCCAAAATGAACTATTTGTAGTTCCCTTCTGCCCAAATAATAACTTTTCTGCTATCCAGACAGCATGCCTTCTGGGGATTTTACCACAGCATTCAGCAAGTTTCCTCATGGGCCATCACTTGAATGTAAGGGGTGAGGTCTTTTTTAAGTCCTGTACAGACTAAAACAGTATCTGACATATTGTAAGTAACCTATAAATATTTGTTGAATGACTAAATGAATGCCTCTTCCCTCCTTGCTTTGAACTATAGTCCAGAATTACTGTTTTTTATTATTATTTCAGCAAAGCACATATTTCTTGCCCAAATTGTCTAGCAGCCCTGATCCCCTCTCCTACCCCCCCACAAAGCCTCTGCCATCTATTTATCAATTTGGCTGCAAAACAACTTACAACAAGGCTGGGGACATCTGTCTGCCCTTGGGGCAGCCTCCAGAAGAGCAAAGAATTTTATTGGTCATTTCCTGATCAGGTGTGGGGCCAGGGAGTATTTTCTAATTGAGGAGATCTTGGGGTGGCGAAGAAGATGGACTGTCAAAGACAGGGGACCAAGGCTAGTACACGGCAGATACAAAGAGATCTGCAGGCCTTGGACAGGTAGCACCAGTTCCATTATCTGATTCAGGAACAATGTAGGGCTGACCAACAAGGTCAATAACAGGTATATAGCAATTCTGAGGGTATACCAGCTCACCTCCAGCTTCTTCTCCCTCTTCCCTCTTGGGAATCTTTGCAAGTGCTTTTGACGATGGATGGGCATGAATTTTCTTTCGCTTGGGAAATGCCTTCAAGATGCCTCTGGGGTCCATTGACGTATGGCTGGATCCTGGCTTTTCTATTTGTTGGTTAGGGCAGATACCATGCAGAAATCCAACTGAGGCCCCAGGAACCTTTTTCCTATGGAGATGGGGTCTCTACTGATCAAACCGTGGGGGCAGCAGCCCAGGTCTCAGGAGTCTCTGAAATCCAATTAAACTTTGGTGGTGGGCTGGTGGAGTGGCTCAAGTAGTACGGTGCCTGCCTAGCAAGCGCGAGGCCCTGCGTTCAAACCCCCCCCACCAAAAAAAAAAAAAAAAACAAAACCCAAAACTTTGGTGGTTTAAACCTAGCTCTACACTGACCAATCTTTCAAAGTTAGAGTATTGGGGGATGTGAGGAAAGGGTAGGACTACTGGAGGTACCTCTAAGGAGTTAAAACAAAATCAATTCCTCAGAGGAGTTATTCTGAAGATTCCGCTAGGCTTCTGCCCTGCTGCATCCCACTTCCAAGGTGCTTTAACAAAAAAAAAAAATGGCAGGCTAGGAAAAGGAACTGCATCTTTAAGATCTTCAACTCTCCAAAGAAGTGGAGACTGGAGGACACCTGCATATAAACCCCACATTGTCTTTCTCTAGCCACAAAGTACAATCGCAGAGGAAACCTGGGGAGGGGGAACTTAAGGGAGGATAGTGAGTACGCTCTGCACCTGCCCTGATCGCGGGCTTCCCAGCATGGGGGTGCTGATCCTGCAGCTGCGGGGGGATGCGGGTGTGGCCGCAGCAGGTGTGAAGTGCCCTGGAGGAATGGGAGAGTCTCAGTCTCCCAGCTGGGAGTGAAGACACGGGCAGGTGTGGTCTTCGCTTGCGCAGATGGCGCAAGCCAGGGACTCCCAGCTGGGGGCCAAAGGAGAGCTGGAGTTCGAACTGGCCCTAAAAGCCCCTTCCCACCACCAGATTTAATAACATTGGGCTCAGTAATCAACGTTGGGCTGGGACCCAGGATGAGCAGTCAACTACTTACCAGGAGAGCTAATGACAACAGAGGAAAGTGGTGGAGGGAAGGGCAAATGCCCAGAACACCTTCCGGGTCATCCGGAAGTGACCTTCGACTGAAGAGTTGCCATGGCAACGGCCAGTGGCGCTGCACGTCAGAGGAAAGATGGCGGTAACTGGTTGGCTGGAGAGTCTGCTGGCGGCCGAGAAGACTGCGCTGCTGCAGGACGGTAACTCGAAGTCCCCGTTAACTCCCTCGTCCTTTCCCTCCAGGATCCGACCCTTTGGCCCCAGGAAGGGCCTCAGAGCCTCGGTTGGCAGAGCTGGAAGGGCCGCGGCTGTCAGCTCCTGTATTTGCATATGAGGAAACTGAGGCCCAAAGAGATGCCAGGATGGAACCCAAGTCTGTGAACACACCCTAGTTTTCCCTACACCATCTCGCTCCGCTCTCGTTTTTTGTTTTTGTTTTTTTTTGTCTGGTGGGACTGGGGTTTGAACTCAGGGCTTTGCCCTTACAAAGAAAGCACTCTAGCTGGAGGAGTGGCTTAAGCGGTGAAGCGCCTGCCTACCAAGTGTGAGGCCCTGAGTTCAAACCCCAGTACCACCAAAGAAGGCACTCTACCGCTTGAGCCACACCGCCAGTCCGTTTTTTGCTCTGGTTATTTTGGAGATGGAGTCTCGCGAACTATTTGCCTTGGGCTGGCCTGGATCCTCCCAAAGTAGCTAGGATGGTAGGTGTGAGCCATCGATGCCCCAGCTCGCTCTGAGTTTTGTTGCTAATAAATAATGGTTATTTTCGCATTCATTATCTCATTTTCCCCTCACTGCTGTCCTAAGAGGTGATAACATCCCACCTCATTTTACTGAGTAGGAAAGTGAAACTCAGAAGGCTTCAGACCATCCCCAGCTCTTCCCCAGTCCGTTCTCATTGACTCCCCTCTAAGTAGTTTATTCCTTATCGACAGTCAGTGTTACAATTGGCTTTTGACCTGGGGCCTCATGAACCTCAGTCTAGGGATTCTATGACTGATGGCAGCTAGATATCATGGAGGGGCAGGACACCTGGGTTCTAGTTCCACTTTGCTGCTAATTCACCATGGACTCTCCAGTCTGCCCCATTACTTGTTTGGACCTCACTTTCCTCATCTGTAACATGAGATGTGTGGGCTACCACTGTTATCTCTGAGGTCCTTTCTAGCTGTGTGTTTGTAAAGTGAATCTTTACGTGTTCCCTGGGCTTTTAGGGAGCTAGAACAGGGGCCACAAGCTGGGTCTGGAAGAGTGGGCACAGGGGTATGGAATCCTAGCTTCTTCCCACACTAGACTTGGCAAGTGTAGGCACCCCGGTGCTTCAAGGTTCTTTTCTGGACCCACTTGGCAGCCAGGGTGAATTAAGTCTGAATTCCTGAGGCCTTAAAGCTAACAGCTAGGAACTCACATCCATAGGTAGAAGTCAATCAGGGAAGCCTGGAATTTATGGAAATTAAAATCAGCTGCTCATTTGTTGATAAACATTTACAGAGGCTTTTATTGTGTGCCAAGATCTGCACTAGACCAGTTAGAAAAAGACATGTTCTCCCAGGAGTTTACAAAGTGGTCAGGAAAAAAGCATGTAAAGAAATAACAGCATGTGTTAAATGGAGGTGGACTCTTGTATAAAATCTTTGGAGAGTGTTTGGTTCTGGTGTGTCATACCCATAATCCTAGCTACTTGGGAGGCTGACATTGGGAGGATCACAGTTTGAGGTCAGTCTAGACAAATAGTTCTTGAGACCCCCCCCATCTCCAAAATTCACCAGAGCAAAATGGACTGGAGGTATGGCTTAAGCGGTAGAGTACCTGCTTTGCAAGAGCGAAGCCCTGAGTTCAAATCCCAGTCCCACCAAAAAAAAAAAGCTTGTGAGAGCTTGAAGGTAGTAGTCATTATCTCTTTGGAGAAAGACCTAACAGAAGAGGTGATATTAATGTGTTTTCTAAGTTTGAGGAAGAATGACTCACATGTAAAGGCATGGAGGTGTGAAAGTATATGGTTGGTTACTTGAGGAGTAACAAAACATTTAGTAGTGTGGAATCATTCACTCAGTCATAACAAACCACTTACACTGTGTTGGTACACTATACTAGGAGCTAATACAAGTGTGAGTAAGAGTCCCTTTCTCACGGAGCAGTGAGGGGAAATGGTGGGAAATGAAGAGAAATTGTAGATAAAGTTGGGCATATTGTGATCTCTTATGTAGATTTTGGATATTATCTCATAAAACAGTTGTTTTTGTTGTGGTAAAAATACATACCATTGACTAGAGGCATGACTCAAGTGGTAAGAGCACCTGCTTTGCAAGTGTGAAGCCCTGAGTTCAAACCCCAGACCCAAAAATGGCAAAAAAGCATACCATAAAATTTACCATTTTAACCACTTTTAATTGTACATTTCAGTAGGATTAAGTATATTCACATTATTTTGCAACCATCACTACCATTCATCTCCGAAACCTTTCATCTTCCTCAGTTGAAGTTCTAGGCCACTAAACACTGCCACTTCATTTCCTCCTCTCCTTAGCTCCTGGTAACCAGCATTCTGCTGTTCTGTCTCTGAATTTGACTACTCTAGAAACCCATATAAGTGGAATCATTCTATATTTGCCATTTTATGACTGGCTTATTTCACATAGCATAATGTCTAAAAGGTTCATGTGTTGTAGTAGTATTTCCTTCCTTTTTAAAGCTGAATATACCCCACATTTTACCTATTCATCTGCTGAGGGACACAATCAGATGGAGCTGCTTCCACTTGTGACTATTGTGCACACTGATGCTTTGAACATTTGTATATAAGTACTTGAAGTCCCAGCTTTCATTGTCTTTGATCACAGGACAATATTTAAACATATTTCATCAAGATTATGTTAAGCTTTTTTGTTAGCAGCATTAAAAAGATGTTGTTAGGGTTTTTTCCAAACTAACAAATAGTACAATATTAGTCATGTGGCTATGCCTTGTCAAACTCCCTACAGATTTTCCTCCTGGAGGGTATGGAGGCATAAAAAGGTAATTCACTAGAAAAATGCCCTGTAAACCCTTGGAACAATGTTCAACCTCTCAAATATTTAAAGTTATATAAATTGTCCTACTTTAGTTATTAGAGCCTGCACTTTGGCTCCAGAATGGACTTTGGCCTCAAGTGAGTTCAAGCTTGGGCCTGTCATTTCCTAGCTTTACAATCTTGGACAAGTTACATGAACTTTAATCCTAATTTCCTCATCTGTGAAATAAAGGTAATGGAGACACATAGGATTATTCTGATAATTCAATTTGATAAAACACGTAAAGTGCCTGGTCATTAGTAAGTACTGCATTCTGCCTGGACTCAAGGCTAGATGATAAGAGAAGATAGTCAGGGCAGATATCCACAGCTACTCACAAGCAGCACCTTGTACCCCTCTCCTGACAGGAAAACCTTTCCAGCTCATGTGAACCCACCCAAATGATTAAAAGTGGTGTAACCTAGGGCCTGCCGAGAGGCCTTACCAACTTTGGGATGAGTTTCTCTGAAATACAAATTAGGAATGACTAAAGGGAACTGTGTCCCAGAGGAGTGAATTAGACAGGAAAAAGCCATCTTAGACTCTTATCCTTGAAGCTTATGTAGTGTATATGTGTCTACTGGTCATAAGTGCTCATTTATTAGGAGCCTGCCTCTATCTACTTTGTAAAGAGAAAGAAGAAATTACATGACCATCTTTAAGCAAATGCTCATGGTTATGCCTTGTGGGTAGAGGGGTTGCCTAGGAACTAGAACCTTGAGGAACTAGGAACTCCCTTGAGTTCTATTTTTTTCAGTGGTTGGTGTACCATTATTTATTCATTCTTTTAGTCAATATTTGGTTGAGCTCCTATTATATTGCACATACTGTGCTTGGTCTCAGGGAAGCCATAGGCACAGGAATAAAACTCCTATCCAATAGAAGAGACAAGCAGTAGCAGAGAATTGTGCAAGGAAGTATAAAGTCACAACCAAAGCGCATGTCTGGGGACTGCATGGCAGTATCACCCTGGGGCTCTTGATAGGAGCGGCCCAAGATGGGTGGAAGAGGGCAAAGCAGCAGTATGACTAGAGGGAAGTGCCGGGTGGGAAACCCTGCATGCACAGCTGCATATTGACGTAATGACATATTGACGGACCTTTAGGAACTAGGGAGAGGAGGACGCGTGATGTCATTTGTGTCACATGCTTTCAAGTGTTATGGTGTGTCAGAACTGCTCCGCTGTGGATGTGAACAAAGCACTAGGGAGGCACAGGTGAGGAAGTGATTAATTCTGCCAAGGTGGCTGGATGTGATAGTTAAGAAAGACTTCCCAGTGGAAGTGACATTCTAGCTGGAATTTGGAGGGTGAGGAAGAATTCCACAGTTGAGAAGAAATATGGCACTATTGCTGCTGGAGGAAACAGCAGAACAAAGACATGCTCAGAGAAAGGAAGTGAGCCCCAGGACATGTCTTAAAGTAATGGTGGGCAATAATTAGCAAGGAGTTCAATGGAGGTTGACAGGGTTTCTCAGAGTTCCCAAGGCTGCTCCTATTTTCAGGGGCCTGGAATTTCAAGGGGCAAGCCAAGGGGAGACTTTAAAGTAAGACGCTCTCTGCTTTGTGTGTAGGGAGAAGGAAGGTACACTATTTATTCCTAGACGGGAAGGAAATGGCTGAAGAATACGACGAGAAGACGGGTGAACTACTTGGTAAGTGACAGGCTCCCCTGTTCCCGTGGGCCCTTAGGAACACGTGGGACTGATCAGGTACAGGTGAATGCTCCTATTCTTAGGGTAGAGGGAGGAGCCCAGCACCAATGTGGAAGCAGGAGAGATTGAGGCTCTTGAGTCAAGATTGTTCCTGAGAATAGTCCAGACACTGGCAGTTGAGTAGGAGTCCTTTTGACTAGTAAAGCACATCCCTAACCCCAGATAAGTGATTCTTGTAAACTAGGACTGGGGATGTAGAGAAACAGTCAGAAAAATCTTTCACAGATGAGGTGGTATTGAAGTGGGCCTTATAGCTGAGTGGTAAGGGCAGGCTTTCACTGCACACTTTTTGCTTGTTTCGCTTTCTGAAGCCATACCAGGAGTAAGCAAGTACCAAGGCAGCAGTTTCTGACCTTGCCTCCAAGGCAACACTATTAAATATGACTCTTATCTTGAAGAATGAAGCAAAGAGGTGGAAATGGTGATTTTTGCAGCATTGTCATTTTTTTCCCACAGGTTTTTCCTCTTAAGAATAGGCTCTATGAGTAGGGGTTCCAGCTCAGATTTCTGAGAATTATTTGATTTGTCCATTCTCTGTTCCCAGGTATGCACATCAGCTTTAACTGACTTCCCAGAGCTAGGTGACTGGCTCTGTGACCCTGGGCCTAATGCTGTCAACAGTGGGAGTTGGTCTCTTTATTAAGTTCCACCTGAAATGCTAAGGCCAATGATGGAATTATGGACTGGGTTATTTTCTTGTCATTATTCTTGACTTTAATTTCTTCCTGGACCTGATCGACAGGTAGAATTGGTGAGGGAATTTCTTTTTCCCTTTTCCTGACAGCTCATAAATGTCTAGAACCGACAACATGGATTATACTGGTTTGCATTCTCCTAGTCTCCAGTCTCAAAATGTGTGTCCTGCGCATGTTCAGTTGAAGAGTGAAGTGTTGATCCCTTCTTATTATGAGCTGCTTGGGCTCTAGTCCCAATTGGTTTAGTCTGGTGCTATTAAAAAATCTTGATGTGTTTAGCATATGACACTGATTTGGTGGAAACCAATACAGTAGTAATATCCTCACAATGCATTGTAATTTATAGTGCTCCCAGGGGGTGACAGCCTTAGAATGCCTAACAGGGGAGAACTTATGAAAGCAGAGGTCACATGAGCTAACCACCATCATAACCCGCAGCTCCCTGCCCTAGCCTCTAGTGTCACCTTTTTTCTCTCTGCACAGAACAAATAAAGCAGCTATAGCTGCTGAGTCTGTAAAAACAAACAAATACAACCTAGGCCTCTTTGTTGTGCTTGGACATGAAATTAAAAATAAAAACAAGTCCAGGTTCCTTCATTTGTAGCACTCCATGCCCCAGTATCCCACATTAACCTGTCACTTTTCCCAGTGGCAGGTGGAGATAAACCACAGCCTCTGAATTCCTTTTTCTTAACAGAAGCAGAGGAGGACACTGTGCATGGGAGAGCACCATTTGGCTAAAGTTTACCTAACAATGACATTAACACCCAGCTTTTAATTGGACACCATACCAAGTGCTTGACATGAGTTATTTCATGTAGTTGTCTTCATTAAAGCACTAGGCCATAGGCACTGCTGTCCTGTTATACAGTTGAAAAACAAGCTCAGAAAAGTTAAGCACCTTGTTAGACTCACATAGTTGGTTGGTGCCTGAGCCAGGACTCAAGCTGAGTTCTGTCCTACTAAGAGCCTTGCTTTCATGTACAACAACATAGTGTTGGGAGTTGAGAATACTTAATCCAACTTTCTCATTTTTCTTTCTCCAGAAAGGCCTTAGTGGGGACTAATGGGCAGTGAGGAACACCTGACTCCCGCCACTAAGCCCTAGCCTGAGAATAGCAGATCCCTTTCTTACTCGTTTTCTCCTCCAACCCCCACCTAACTGTCCTTGAAAACTACTGCACATTATTCTTTTTTGAGATGGGGTCTCACTATGTTGTTCAGGCTGGCCTTGTATTCCTGGGCTCAAGCAGCTTTCCTGCCTTAGTTTCTCAAGCAGCTGGGATTACAGGTGCATGCCACTGTGCTGGACTATTAACTTTTTATTATAAATAATCCCAGCATCTGTGCTGAGCTGACTTTTGCTTGTACATCCTATGAAATAAAGAATGAACATGGTTCATGTGGCAGTAAGTAGAAATAGTTTCCATTTTTCCAACTAATTATACAAATTTGATAATTGGTCAAACTGGTTTTCTGTTAGAAAGCTCAGAAAGTAATTTACAGAGAAAGAATTACCAATAGGTATGCATCTGTCTGGGACAAAGTTCCCCCAGCCGGTGTTAATAAGCATGTTAGTGTCATCTTTTTTTCTACCCTCTCAGGGCTATTCATTCTCACCCCCCACAATGAATGTTGTATGTATTCATAGAGGAAAAAACTGAAGGGCCTGTAACAATGATCGGAACATCAAACCAGCCCCAGAAGAACACAGCATGTCCAGGGGGGCAGAGGCTGAAGGGCAGGCCATCCCCCAGCGATTACATTCGGATTACCGCTTAATCTGCTTTGGTATTTGACCGCCAGCCTAACCACCGGCAGACTGCATTTGGAGGATATTGAGCACTTTCATCCCCGGGCACTTCAGCGGCTTTATAAATGACCCACTCGATTCCCTTCAGCCTCCTCAGGGATGGGCCGTGGCAGCTGTTTAATAGCCACATAGCAATGTTGCAGTGTTTTAGGACAGAAAAGAAGAATCCTGCATCCAGTTTAAGCTGCAGGGAGTATTTAGGAAAGGGGAATGTAATTATCCACATTGGAAATGGGCCAGGCCTTGGAGCTTTGGGGAAAGAGGCCTTTAGGACCTCTACTTTCCAGCCCACCTGAAAGATGGGGCCTCTTTCAGCAGCCTGGGACATCAGCCTGCTTCCTGCTGACTTAGGAAAAAGCCCCCAGGCGCTGCTTCCTTCATATATTCCCTGTCAGACCCTTTATAGGATCATTGAAAGTCTCCTTTCCAAGGACTGGCCCTGGCTCAGCCGGGAAGATATGACAGCGTCCTGGGGAGCTGCCTTACACACACCAGTTTGGGTTTAACATATAATCAAATCAGAGTGACAGCAGGTGGAAACAGTCTTCTGTTGCTGCAGGAGCTGTCCTTGAGTACGGAACAAAGACAGGGACAAGAAAGACAAGACAGTGTGTATTTGCACGTGTATATTCATGCCCACAAACATGGGAAAAGTAAGACTTTCCCCAATACTAATGTATTGGATCTTACCTCCTGAAGGATCCGAAAGGGAGCTTTCATTTGCATTATCTTCTAACAAAGAATAGAATTCCCAAGGTGTTTAAAAAAAATTAAAAGTGAGGCAGCTAAGAGGGCCAAGCTCCTTTGACCTGAGTGGCTTTTATCATAAGAAGTAAAGAAGCTAGTAGCGACTTTTCCTTCTTAGGAAGGCTTCTGTGGGAAACCCAGCATTCCTTGTAACAGAAGAGTGGACAGGAAATCCTGGGGTAGTTATTTTGCCTCAGGACCACACTGGTAATGTACCCTGGCACAACCAGTTTAACATACCTCATGGTTACAGTGGCATCTCACTTCTCCAACCCCAGCTAGCTACTCCTCAGTTGCTTTCTCAGATAGCTGAAGCTTAGTCTTCAAAGACCAAAATATAAAAAAGAAGCAGAGCTACTGAATGAATCTTTCTAAACATTATATATGCTTCCTGAACATTTACAGAATATAGGTTAGACTTTTATTGATTCAATTTCTGGACTTGGGGTTAGGACACCTGAGTTGTTTTGTTCTGTTTTTGTTTTTTTGAGATCTTGCCTTTTTGGGGTCTTGCTGTGTAGTCCAGGCTGACCTCGAGCTCATCGATCCTCTTGCCTCTGCCTCCTGAGTGCCAGCCATGTCCCACCCTGCCTGGCAGGAGACCTAAATTTTACATTTTAACTGTGGCTCTTGCAAATTGATCTCTCTGTTCTTCAGTAATTCTTCATACTTTGTTGAGGCTGGGCATGGTGGCTCATGCCTATAATTCCATCTTTTTGGGAGACAGAGATTGGAAGGATCTTGGTTTGAGGCCAGCCTGGGCAAAAAGTTAGTGAAACCCTATCCCAGTCAATAAAAAGCTGGGCATGGTGGTGCATACCTGTCATCCCAACTATGTAGGAGGCTGTGGGTAAGAGAAGTGCAATCCAAGGCCTGCCCCAGGCAAAAACATGAGCCCCTACCTGGAAAAAACTAAAGCAAAAAAAGGGCTAGAGGTGCAGCTCAAATGGTAGAGTGCCAACCTAGCAAAAAATTAAAAAAAAAAATCTGTGAGAGGATTACATTCTGTCATATAGACCATGGGGACTAGGGATGCTTGTTTGCCCTAACACTAAGTGGTCCCAAGCACTTGTGTAGTTCTGCCTTCCCATGTGAACTGTCTCCTAATACTGTTCTCAATATTCCTGGAGAACAAAGTACCTTCCAGGGGCTGGTGGAATGGCTAAGTGGTAGAGTGCCTGCCTAGCAATTTTGATACCCTGAGTTCAAACCCCAGTACCTCAAAAAAAAAAAAAAAGTAACTCCCTGCCTTATACACAGCTGCTGATGCTTTTTTGTTTGTTTTTCTTTTGTTGTTTTTTTTCAGTGCCAGGATCATACTCAGGGCCTCACACTTGCTAACATGGGCTCTACCACTGATCTACATCCCCAGTATACATAGCATTTCATACATAGTTTGAGGGCTAGAGAGTGATTTTAGTGATATGGAGCAGTAAGCTGCTGCTTGGCGGTATCTGTCACTTGTCACCTTTTTTTTTGGCAGTATTGGGGTTTGAACTCAGGGCCTGTGCTTGCTAGACAAGCACTTGAGCCACACCTCCAACCAGGTATTTGTCACCTCTCAGTTTGCAACTGTGACAAGGCCCCCAGCAGGCTGGCTTCCAGTTAAGTGAGGTATTATAGTGAATAGATTTGAATATACTTCTAGTCACAGTCCATTCACTTAAGAAAGTATTTGTGAGGAAAAGTTGCCTGTAAAGCATATTTCCAAGTTTTACTCTTCCTTATTAATTTTCATTATAAACTTGGAAATGTGTTTCTCAGGAGAATTTTTGGCTCTAAGATGTAATAAAATCACACTGCAGAATGCAGTAGACCTTATAAAAGCACATATTCAAGGGAGAATTCTAATTTTACAGCACACTTTTACAGCTCATGTGACTTCCTTACAGCGATGAGGGCGTGGGAGGTTGGTACAGCTACTCAGGTCTAAAGGCAAACTGTCCAAGTGGCCTGACGCTGAGGATCAGACTGGAGCTACCACCCCCCATCACACCCCTCTTCTGGGAAAAAGACACCCATGGGAACAGCCTAGCAGCATACCAGGCACTTTTTGAGCCGGTCAGCAGCTTATGGCTGCTGCAGAAAGCTGCTGATCTTTAGCTGGTGCTGCACTGGCTGGAGGACACCCCAAGGTGTCAGCCCCAGGGGAAAAGAGGTGTGCCTTACGAATGTCCTCCACCCTAATGGTCTGGATGGCAGCTGTCACTAGGATAGGGCTGAGTGAGGTTTATGAAAATCCTAGCAGAGGTTTCCTGGGAATGTCCACTAAACTAATTTTTAGATTTATAATTTCCATATTATATGTGCCTTAGTTATAAAAAAGATATATGCAAACATCTGGATTATAAAACAAGGAGAAATAGAGATGGTTATTTGCATTATAAAGTTAATTGCATTTTACAAAACAAATCATGTTAGATTTTCTATAAACTGCATTTAAAATGCAATGTGTGCCTAAGATTTTGTTTATTTTTTGCAGTGCTGGAGATTGATCCCAGGACTTGGTGTATGGGAGGCAAGAGCTCTACCAGTGAGCTGTAGTCTCCATCCCAAGATTTTGTTTAAATATAGCTTTTGGAATTTTTTGTTTTTTAAAACCAAGTATACCTAAAATGTTTGCATTTAGACTTTCTGAATCATGAGACAAACCCGCCTAACAACTTTCACTCTCTTATTTCATTTTTTCCTTTGCACATTTTTTAGAGGGGAAAAATGCATCAAAACTTCCTTTTTGTTATCCACATTTTCCCATTACCAGAAATCACCCTTCCAATCCCTTCATCTTTTCCTACTTGATGCCACAGCTGAGGTGTTTTTTTTTTTCGTAGTACTGAGGTTTGAACTCAGGGCCTACACCTTGAGCCACTCCTCCAGCCCTTTTTTCTGTGAAAGTTTTTTTTTGAGGTAGGGTCTTACAGACTATTTGCCCAGCTATCTTTGAACTGCAGTCCTCCTGATTTCTGCCTCCTGAGTAGGATTACAGGTGTGAGCCACCAGCACCCAGCTGTGATTTTTTTTTTTTTTTTTTTTGAGATAGGATCTCACTATTTACCCAGGCTGGCTTCAAACCATGATCCTCCTGATCTCTGCCTCCTGAGTGGCTAGGATTACTGGAATGAACCACCAGCTCCCAGCAAGCTAAGGGTTTCTTGACTCAGTTTGGCTCCTCTGAGAGCTTTTTTCCAGGCCCTTTTGTGTTGCAATGGGCTTTGTGGGTTGTCTGCTGCTGAAATACTTTAGTAAGATTTCACAGGTTCCTGTGCAGATGAACATGGCTCAGTGTAAAGACCAAAGCTCCTACTTTTATCGTATTTCAGCGATCTAATGTTGGAGAGTCAGCAGGAAACAGCAGAGATCCTTTCTTCCCTCTAATCTCATTGCTTGCTTCTCTCCCCAGTGAGAAAGTGGCGTGTGAAAAGTGCCCTGGGAGCCTTGGGCCAGTGGCAGCTTGAAGTAGGAGAACCAGTGCTCCCAGGAGCAGGGAACCTGGGGCCTGAGCTCATCAAGGAAAGCAATGCCAATGTATGTCTGTCTGTCCAGGTGTCTTGTGGGGGCTGGGGAGATTTCTGGTCTCTCAAAGCAGCTATAGTGACTTGTTCATCTCCTCTTCTCCAGTACGCCCACCTGGCCACACTATATTTGTTTGTGTGAATGCCGAAGGGTTTGACTTGGTCATCCAGGGCAAGGCCTCCAGGCCTACCTAGAGTGTCACAGCAATAGCAGCCTCAGAGGGGAGCTGTGGAGAAGAGCTGAGGGCCTTTTGTCTGGCTCTGGGTGGAGCTTTGGGAGGGTGGGATCCCCCCCTCCCTTCCCCAGAAATAGTCCTTGAGTTGGAGTTGCCTTCTGCAGCCCATCTTCATGCGCAAGGATACGAAGACAAGTTTCCAATGGCGAATTCGAAACCTCCCTTACCCAAAGGATGTATATAGTGTCTGTGTGGCCCAGAAGGAACGCTGCATCATTGTCAGAACAACCAACAAAAAGTGAGTAGCACGGTGGCCACCTGTCTGCTTGTATATAAGCAAGGGTGGTGTTGGGAGTCAGGTCCCAATCTGTTCCTTATCTGAGAAGGCAGAGCATCCTCCTTCCTCCAGTGTGAGGGAGCAAGGTGGGCTGAACTAAAACCCCAGGCACTATGCAGCAGCAGCAGCGGCAGCTTGAATAATGTAATTAGCTCCATCATGGTAGGGGAGCTTGAGTGAGTGTCAAGTGTGGTACTTGGCACATACTGACTATTGATTGAATGAATAAGGGAATCACGTGGCCTTAACTTGTGATCTCAGGTAATTCTGCTCTAAAGTTGTTATGACCTTGACCTCTTGGCTGTATCCAGTCCATGGTGAACTTGGCCTAGAGACACCACTGTCAAGAGCTTGCAGAGAGCCATAGCCTGGGAGGCAGACCTGTCTAAGGTGGCAGGTATAGGACTTTAAAGCACTGGACTGGGCAGCAGTAGCTCTTGTCTCCCTCTGTACTAAAGGAAAATAGACAGATGCTTTGACCTCTTGGAAATCTCTAGCATTCTGCTTCCCTCTGTGGTCTGCTGGGCGAGGAGGCAGATTAGTGGTTGGGAAGTTTTTAAAGGACAGAGGTGATTGAGGTACACTTCCAAAATAATCATGTTTGGGTTTCTGGCACTCAGGAAAAGAACCTGGCTATGAATCAATTTCAGCCTGGGCCAGAGAGATTACAGTATGGGACCAACTCCATATTTGGGCATTGAGATGGGAGGTTTTTTAAGTTTACCTGTTCTCACGTATGAAGCTACCCAGCCTGCCTCATGAGATGCTAAGCCTAACCCTGAGGTGGCTCTGTCCATACACTACTTTATAGTCAGGAGGACCCAGCTCCTTATCTCTCTCCTTAGGCAGTGTAGTCCAGTCTTCCTTTTCCTCTCCCTCAGGTCCATGAAACCTACAGGAAGCAGGGCAGCTCCCAGCCTCCCCAGGGCAGCGCTGGGTTCTGCCCTCCCCATACCCCATCACTTTGGCAGGGTTAAGGGGACAGGGGAAGGGGTGGAGATGAATGAATGAATTTCAGTATTATTGCTGTACATGCAGCCAGCAGCTCCTGCAGTGGGCCTTGTCTATAAATATAAAGTCACAATAATAAGGGTTTGAGTTTATAAAGCACATTGAAGCTCTCAAATAAAAGGCAGTTTATTCCCGTTATTGTTCTCATCATTAACAGGAGTCAGTGCCTAAAGTAGAATTTAGCAATTTCAGACAAATTGCCTGTAAGAAAACAAACTGTGCTTCAGCAAGCATTCCCTGGTGCAAGAGGCCCTGGGTCCAAACTGGGAACAAAAGTGCTTCTGATAGCACTTGAATCTGCAGCTTAGCACTTTGTGGAGCTGGCTGCTGCCTCCTTTTTGTCCCCCAGAGGTCACTGTTGAATACAGATATCAGACAGAAATGTGATTACCAGGGAGTGAGAAAAGAGAGGCTAGCTAACTCACCAAAAAATTCATCTGTGGGCATATCCTCTGAGCCCCATCTCCTGCATGTTTCCAGCCATAGGTGGCGCTGTTGGCCAGGGGCTCCAGGGATAGAGGCCCATTCCCGTACCCAAGGGCAGGAGTTGGGGCATTTCTGAAAAGCTGGGGAAGGCAAGGTAGGAGTAGTGCCTACAGAGGGTGGGTTCTCACAAATGAGAGAGAAATATTTTGATGCCCACTTTGGAACCCACACTGAGCCTGTGGTCCAGGTCCCAGACTGGCTCAGCCCTGCCCCCTGTAGGACCCTCTGTTGAGAGGAAGGCTGGAGAGGCCATCAGACCCTTAATCAGCTCTTTCCTGAGCCTGGTGGCATTTTCACTTCTGTGTTCTATACCTGGATGAGCAACGCTTAACTTTTTCAGGATACTTTTAAAATCTGTTTTCTGATCATTGCACAATTCAGACATGGGCAAGATCAATATTATTATTATTCTCATGTTATATATTAGAGATTATACAAATGCATGTAGAAGTCAACATAATAAACTGGCCTGCCCACAGGAGACAGTGAGCTTCTCCCTCAACACCCAGGCATTAACAGTGTCCACCACAACGTGGCATTTTTCTCTGATTCAGCTTTTCTTTGCCTAGAAATTTCATTCCTGCCCCAATTCTTGTATTCTAGAATGTGGTTCCTAAACAAAGGTATGCTTTTTGCTTACCTGCCTTATGTCTGAAGAAGTGAGTAGGCCACTTTGCTTGAAGAACTGATTCTAGTGTATTGTGTCCTTGGCCTCAGGTGTTAGTTAAAAATGAATCAGGGAAGGAAGAAAGTGTTTTCCAGGATCCCAATGTGGCACCATCTGGTCCTGACAAGAATGTTTATGTAGAAAGAAGGTTCAGCCTAAAGGCTGACATCTGTAAGTAGAGTGAGAAGATCTTGGCTTAAATCTGACCTCTGCCACATATCAATTGTAGTATTTGGGGCAAGATTTTCTCATCTATGATAGAAGCATGCTTATACCTACCTCACAGATTGGGGAATTTGATGACATCATATACATACAAGCACTTCACATAATGGTCAGTCCAAAGCAGGTCCTTAATAGTTCTTTGGAAATTGGAATCTGAAGGCAGCTTGGCTGATTTAATATCAGTGATGCTGTCACTAGGGGAGGTATTAATAGGCATCACGAGAAGGAAGGATTCTGTGGTCAGTTAACTTTAAGACAGTCTGAACTCAACAGGGTTCCCTTTGGTAAGACTCTGAAAGCCCTGAGTGTGTACATGTACATTGTGACTCTCTAACAAGGGCTATTGAGGATAGGGGTGACTGGTTTGCCCAGAGCTTGAGCTTTCAGATTTGCCTACTACTGTCCTCAGGGCTGGACTGGCAGGAGACTTCTGGACACGAGCCAAGCCAATGTACAGGGTAGAGCAGTATAGGGCAGGGCCTGTACAGCTGTTCATGGCAGCTGTACTCCTGCCCTCAGTCCTCTTCCAGGGGCCCTCTCTCTGAGGGCCAGACTCTGTGCCCTTTCCTACTTGCTGCAAAGGGAGAAATGGAGTGAGGAATGGTTAGGAATTGGGCAGGGGATATAGTAGAGATGGGAGGCAACAAGCCATTTCTGAAATAGCCATTGAAAGAATTACCCATTTGGCACAAGGGGAAAGAAACTTTCAGAGCTAGCCTGTTGTGGGCCCTTGGACAATAACTTAAGGTTGATCTAGTGCAGCTTCTTGATTTGAGGAAGAAATCTGGAGGAAGGAACTATCATCTCAGGACTGGGATGTCCACTTGAGCCTTCAGCCTAGATATATCATCTTTCATGTCTGGCTGCAGCTGAGAACAGTAAAGGGAGATGGGGATGGGTAGTCAGGCATCTGCAGAAAGCTGGGGAACTGCCCTACTGCAAGGTTTAGCTTTTAGCAGAAACAAAATGTCTGTGTAGCCAAGGATACTGCCTTGCTTCTTCTTCATCTTTAAATTGCCAGCTCACAGAGCCAGGCATGGTGTCACATGCCTGTAATACCAGCTAAGGCTACAGGATCAAGAGTTCAAGACTAGTCCAGGCTACGTAGCAAGACCCTGTCTCAAAAGACCAAAACAACAACAAAAACAACCAACTCACAGCTCAAGTCCTAGGACACAGCAGATGCCCAATAAATGTTTGCTGCCTACCTATAGTTGCCTTAGGCTTAGCATTCTGACTTTCCCAGAAGCACAGAGGTTCCTCTGTTGTCCAGGTGCTGAGAAAGTGTAGTTAAAGTTGTGGCAAACCCCAAGGCTGGGAGAGTAAAGATGAGAAGGGGGTAGGCTGTCCCATTGAGGGTAGATAGCAGCTGTCCCTTTTTTTTTTTTTTTGCCATACTAGGGTTTGTACTCAGGGCCTCCACCTTGAGCACTGCCAGCCCTTTTTTTGTGATGGATTTTTTTCAAGATAGGGTCTCATGAATTATTTGCCCGGGCTGGGTTCAAACCTCAATCCTCCTGATCTCTACCTTTTGAGTTACAGGCGTGAGCCACCAGCTCCCAGCAAGCTATCCCTTACTTCTTTTAGCACTGATTGTCAGAGCCTCTAAAGAGTTATTTAACCTTACCCAATAAACTAAATCCATCACAATAGACTTAAAACAAAGCTTTAGGCCTGCACTGTTGTGGTCTCTATGTGGTAGCAGTAGTGTGAGGAGGAGGCACAAGCCATGCACCTCAAGTGCCTCTGATCCTGGTGTTGCTATTGAGGCCAAGTCCTGGAATTCTGGGGAGTGGGTGGGGGTGCTTCTCTCTTCGTTCTGTTTTTTGTGTACATTTGCAGAGAAGATATTAACACTTCCTAACAAGCCTTTGTGTTCACCTAATCTCTGCTGTTTAACCTTTGACTTCCCCCTATTATCAGTGTCTGCCACCTTTCTGGCCAGACCGAGGGCCCCAGGAAGAGCCCTCAGCGGCTGGCTAGGAAGAGGATGCGCCAGGCATTCCACCAGGTTGCAGGCAGATGGATCGCCTTTCCCTGGGGCAGAGCTTTGGAAAAGAAAGCAACTTGCGGTGCCATTAGGATACCCCAGCCCCCACTCCTTTTGAACTGTCAGCTTTAAGTAAACATTCTTTTCCTGCCATGGGTCCCAGCACCTTGGTGGGGAGTGGGGAACCTGGGAGGAGAGGGGCCCCAGAGCCTCTGCTGAACTGAGGGATTTGGGCAGGGAGGATGGAGCAGAAGTGCTGCATTGATGTCAACTCTCTGAGTCCCCAGGGCATCGGGGCTTTTGAAGTGGACTTGGGGTAGCTGTCACCACAAGGACTTGGCCCCTCTGAAGTATTAAAAGCCCATCCTCCCCAGACCCCTCACTTGAGTTTGTTTGTACCTGCCTGAGGCATTTCCCTTCGGCCCACACAACTTCTGGAGCAGAAAGTGATGCCTTGCTGGGTGACAGATCTGGCAGCCCCTGGCCAGGGCCCAGGCCACACTTCAACCAAGGAAAATGCCAAATGGGCCTATTGTTAGAGATGAGCAGGCCTTTTCTTTGCCCTGGTGTCCTTTGACCCTGACTCACACTGTACTGACAACTGCTGGGAAAAGCAGGCAGGACAGTTCGTCCCTTTGAGTTGGTCAGATTCCCTGCCAAGTCCAGTTGCACACATTATGGGCTTGGTGTTCTGTTGTTTCTGGCTTTTTAGGTTTTGTTGTGTTTTTTTACTAAAAGGGATCACTAATCTCCAGTTTCAGTACCTCAGATGATCGGAATCACATTCAGTATGTGAAAATGGGTGGGTAGGGGAGATCTTGAGGCCAATGAAGGGATCCAGAGCCTATGGTCCATCCTCTTTGTTGTCATGTGGTTTATCTTCCCAGGGAGATTTGTCCATGTGGGCATACTTTTCTCTGCCTTGAAAGTAGAGTCAGGCTAACAAGCCATGAAATACCCCAAAGAGGAAAAGTTAGCTAGCTGACGTGTTCAGTGGAGGCCCCATGTAAATGGCAACTGCAGGGCCCCAGCTTTGGGGCATGGCCCTAGATATCTTTATCCCATCCCTTGTTAGAATATGTGTCCTGCTTTCTGGTGTCCTCATGAAGCTTGGGGTTTAGAGGAAGTATGCAGCTCTTTGTGCATTCCAGGAGACTTTGGGAGTTCAGCCCTGCAGCATGAGTCACTCAGACCCCTGATCTAATCACAGATTTATGACTGGCTCTGCTGTCCTTCCACTGGACTGGCTGTAAGGCTGGCATCCTTTTCTTTCTAGGGCCACTGAGCGAGAAAATACTGCCATTCTAACTGGTTTTCCTTCTTCTCTCTGGCTGTGTGGAAGGTGGGGGAGATTTGTGAAGGAGCATTGTAGCAAAGGGCCTGGTGCCCAGCTTTTAGGGTCATCTTGCTGGGTTCCCCAGTGGCCTCTTGGTATCTCCACAGGTACTACAAGAAATTCTCCATTCCTGACCTAGACAGATACCAACTACCTCTGGAGGATTCCTCGCTGAGCTTCACTTATGCCAACTGCACCCTGATTATCTCTGTAAGATTTGCCCAGACTTCTTGGCCTCTGCACTGGAAAGAGATTTCTCTTTCCCTGCCTATTTCCCATCTTCTAGGAGTCCCCAGCCCCTGGTGTGCTTGCTGGAGAACAGCCTCCCAATCAACTAGGGGAGAGTAGGGTAGGGGTCAGGGAGGGGCCAATCACACAATTCACAGCTAGAAGAGGCAGAGGATTGGGGGAGTAGTAGAAATCATAGGACTTGGGTTCTGGTCTGGGGTCTGATCCTACACAGTTAACATCACCTGAGCAAATCATTCAACTCTGTATGTCTCCATGTGTAATTAAAGGGATCAGAAGGAGCCTGCATGCGAAGGGAGGGGGATAGTAATTGAACTGTGTCTTCTTCCTGGTTTCTTTTACAGTATCAGAAGCCGAAGGAGATCATGGTGGCTGAGTCAGAGCTGCAGAAGGAGCTAAAGAAGGTAAAGACTGCTCACAGCAGCGATGGGGACTGTAAGACTCAGTAGCTGGCCCCAAGCCGTGCACCTCTAGTATGGAAGGTGCTATGAGACTTCCACACTTGTGCCTTTCTGACATGAGGCAGTCTTCTCTCTTCTAGGAGTTATGCAGAGTCTACCAGAACTGGTCCATGGAGCAGTGCTAGCCCCTGCTCATAGTCTTGTTTCCTGAGTAAAGTCATTCTGAGTTACTGCAGATAGATTACCCTTTTGTCCACCTCTGTATGCTGTCTGCCTCTGGGCCCACTGGCTTCCCTAGGGTGGGCTGGCATAACAATCCCTTCTCTATCCTGGGTACCTTCAACATAAAGCTTTCTTCCTAAAGGGAGAATAGGGTGGGAGCACCCATGACCCCAGCAGGGGAGGGAATCTCCCCCAAACTGTCTATATAACCTCAGAGGGAGTCTAAGCTGGAGGGGCCACTGTGCTAGCTTGTATTGCAAAAGTAGCTGAGAAGAAATTCCCTAAGGTATGTGTGTGTATGGGGAAAGTTTAAAAAATTCAAATTGAGCACAGCATGTTAAGATGTGAGTAAAAAACCAGAATAAGAGTCACAGTGTTGCAAAGGGTGTGTGTTGAAGAAAGATCACCCAAGTGATAGCAACTTAGCACCCAAGCAGCCTGGAGTCCTTCCACAATCCCCAGTCTGTACCCCAAAGGTGACATACCTCCCCTCTGCTAAAGAGAAAGGTGTGGATAGTCAATGAAGAGGAATTCCTAAAGAAAAAAGACCTTTGTTTTTTGGGACACAAAAGTTGTGAGTCTGGTCTTGTCGTGTCTGCAGCATGCACATCTTCCCAGGGCCTTCTAGAATTGCCTAGACATTGAAGAAACAGATCTGTGAACAATTAAACTTTATTTTTACAAAAGTGAAAATAATAGCACATCTCCACAGCCGGCCTGAGATAGGGCTAGCTTAGAACCACCCAAACTACGAGGTTCCCTTTGTCCTTTCTTGGAGTCAAAGTGAAACCAGGCCAATGCAATGCCCCAGGAATGACCCCCAATCCCAAGAGGATGGTCAAAGGTAGGGTCTGACCAAGGAGGTGGCCAGTGCCAGCAGAGTACTAGCATCCTCAACTTTCCTTCCAGGGAAGGAAAGAAAGTGCCACCTGGGAAGGTGGGAGTGCCCCACCTCACTATAATCTAACATGGCTGTATGAGGGGTGGGAGCAGGGTTAGCCTTTCCAGGCCAAGCCCTTGCTCTGGCCAAATGGGTGCAAGGCCTGGGTTCAGCTATATTCTTCGGTCCCATCTCTTTACAGGTCCTGGGAGGGCCTGCATTGCTGGGTGAGCCCCAATGCCCCAGAAGTAGGGGCCTCTAGCTTTAGGTACCCAAGCACTATGGCCACAGGTCTAGGTATAAAGCAGGGGTGGTGAAGGAGGTGTCACTGTATCCTCCAGGCAAGAGAGGTCCCTGAGTAGCTAGCTTCCCTGGCCCATAGGCAGGGGTAGCTTGTCATGGGTTTTGAAAGTCCAGGACATGGAGATTATAAGACAGCGCAGCATAGAGATGGTTGGTGGTGAACCGCAGGCAGTACACAGGACTGCTGAGTGGTGTTGAAGTCAAAGGGAAGGCCTGGAAGGGAGGACACAAGTGGTGAGAGATTTTCCAAGTGGGAAAACCCAGGGTCCCCAGGCCCAGTAAAACATGGACATGCCATTGTCAGCTTCCTCCAGCCTGCTCCAGGCACATCCTTGGCCATGTCACCCACCCTCAGATACAGTTCATAGGAAAAGTCCTGATATCCCAGAGGTGTGAGGTGGGCAGACACTTACATGCAGGCAGGCCCTCTGGCGCCGGTCCCACAGCCGAACGACACCATAGTAGGAGGAACCTGTGACCAGCAAATGGTTGCCATCGGTCTGCAGGCAATACAGGGTGCTGTCATGGGGCTCCTCCCACTCCATGACACATTTCCTGTCCAGGAAGAGAGAGGCAGGGGGATGTCCAGTGCTTTCTACCTCCAGCTAAGCTTCCTCCACAGGAGCGTGGATGAGCTGGGGATGAGAGTTAGGGAGCTGTTCCAGGCTGGGGGAGAGAAGCGTGAATCACCATATTCTTTAACAACCAAACATAATGGGAGAAGGTATATCTGTAAAAGATTCTCCCCAAGCCCTGCACCTTGGGAGATGTGCCCTTATTTGTGCTTTCACATGATAGGCTACTTGTCATAGGACCCATCAGGAAAATAAAAGCCTCAACAAAGGCTGGGACAGAGTGCTGAGGGATAATGGCCCTGATATCTACAGAGGCTTTTATCAGGGCCTGTTGACACAAAGTTGCTAGCCCCTTCCTTGTCAGCCTGACACCAAGTTTCTGTGCCCTAGCTCATAGGCCAACCCAGGACTGAAGGGCGGACCAGGATGCACCAGACTCCCACCATGTGTACTTCCCCACCCAGCACACTTACCGGACACTGGTGCGGAGGTCCCAGTAGCGAACATAGGTATCATAACCACAGGACAACAGTGTAGAAGGGGACTCATACATGACATCCAGGACCCCAGCCCCTGGGGGAAAGTCACTGCCCAAGTGTGTCATCAGCTGCCCACTGGAGAGGAAGGGCAGAGGGTGAAAGGCTGCCCACCTTGGCCATGTACACTTTCACCCTTCAGATGGCATCAGGCCTCCTTCCTTAGCTGGGAGACTCTTCTGAGGAAGGGGAGGGTCAAAGGAAGCAATGCCCAGACTCATACCCTTCTCACCAGTGCCTACCCCTCCCCCAACATCCCAGCCCCCAGCTGAAGCTTCAGTGAGGCGAACACAGCAGCCCCTGCTCACACCTGCACTCCAGCCTCCTGTTCCTTCTCTGGGCAATGAATGGGTCTTACTGAAGGGGTTGGCCCCCCTCACATGCACATACTTGGTTACTTTATACTCCTTGATCCTGCAGGTCATGCAGTTCTGAGCTGCCTGAGTCCAATGCCTTAATTCCTGCCTGTAATCTGGGGCTCAAACCTCATTGGGGATAAAGACCACACAAAGGGAGAAGGGGAGTCCCAGGCGATGTTAAAACAAGTAAACACCTTTGTGTCCAGGGACAGAAATTGCTGAGAAAGCAGCTTAGCAGGCTGGTCCCTGGTGTTCTCGGTCTCTGGCCCCCAGCCCAGGGCTAGCACGCCTCTGTGATCACAGCCCCCAACCTGCTGTGCTCCAGCCTGTGCCCCCACCCGCACCCCACCCGGTGGCCAAGAGCAGATTACTGACAAGAACAATTTCTTTGTGACTGTGTAATTCCCTCCGTGACCGCGGCAGTGGACAGACCCTTCGCCCCATGCCAGGCCCCTAGCAACCATGTAGGAGGGCCTCCTGGCCCTAGCAACTGCCCCTCAACATCAAGTGCACCTGCTAATCCCTGTGGCTAGGGGATGGGTAGACATATTAAGTTTCTGCAGAATATTTGGGGAGAATGAAGAGAAGGGGCCCTCTCTGAGCCCAATGCCTCAGTTGCCTTCACTATGAGATGTTGGCCCTTCCCATGGCCTGACAAGAGAAACAAGGCCATAGACACCTCACAGGGGTACTCAGGTAAGAGGCCTTGGCATAGGTTTAGAAGACTCCCTGACCCAAGAGCACAGCTTTGGCCCAAGCAGTGCTCAGCAAAAGGATGAGGCAGCCCTACCTATGTGAATGCAGACTTAGCTCTAGGCCTCCCTTTCACTCAGACTTGTTCTCAACCTCCCTCTCCCCCAAGAAGCTGCCATCTTCCCTAAAGGCATCAAAGGCTGAGGCTTCCTTTCTGCGGACTCAGCCCTTACCTGGGAGCCCTGCCACCCCACGTTGGCCTCCCCCCGGAAGGTTCTCGGTGATGGGCTGGGGAGAAGAGGTCAAGTCGTGGGCAGGGGCTCCTGAGGGAGCAGAGAGGTGGCCTCCCCAGATCAGCATCCCCTAGATGTCACTGACCTCACTCCCAGAGGAGCCACCAGCCATGACTAGAGCTCCACAAGCAGGACAGAGCCCTGGGGTGGGGGGGTGGGGGGTCTCCTGTCTCACAGGTACACCAGTACTTTTGTGAACTCTGGGTGGGAACTAATGAACACAATTCTCCCTCTCTTTCCAGATTTGGGGGCCTCCATTAGTGAGGCCTTAAGGAATGATTGAGGAGTTCTCCTCTTTAATCTATAGAAGTAATTTCATGTTTGTTTGAAATAGAAGATGAAAGGCATGGGGGCGGGGGGAGGTATGGAACCCAGCTTGGCCCTACCTACCCATCCTGGTCCAGTTCTGAGGAAAAAAAGCCAGGCATCCACAGGGCTGGCAGGGTCAGTAGTGTGAAGAGGCACAGCATACCTAGACTGAGCTGCCATCTTGGGCCCTGCCCAGCATCCCAGCCACCACTGATAAGAAAACAGAACAGCCCAAGGATCCCTCTGACTTCTAGGAGACCAAATGGTCCAGTGAGCATTGGCCCCTGGTACTGAGCAAGACCAGTCCTGAGAGCCCCTGTCTGCCAGCCGGGCCTGGCCAGGGGCTGAGAAGTTTCTTTCTGCCATGCCTTCTCTAGTTTTTTCAAGTGGCCACACATGCTTTAAAGGGGCCAATAGAAAGATACAATTTCTTTTTCCTCTGGGCCACAGACCGTCAAGGCTCTGTTGTACAGCTCCAGCGAGGTTAAGTTCAGAGGATAAACTGACACACCAGGCTCTGGGAAATGGCCTGTCTCTTCTAATAGTGGCCCAGCAGTGCCATAGGAGTCCTGCTGGGGCTTTGATTTGGGAAAACAAACAGAAATGGCACCGTAGGCCCTTCAAGGCCCCTACCCCAGGCCCAATTTAACTAGAAAACTCTAGTTCAACTGCTCTGGTGGAGGGAGAGACTGGCCCACAATAGCCCCAAACTTTGGGGGAAAGAGGACAAAAAAAGCTGTCTGTCTCCTCATCCCCTCCTCCTGGGCTGCTTTTCTTATTACAAGTGTGTTCTTGTAAAAACGATTAGATTGCAATTTGTATAACATGGTGACCCCCAAATTCAGATGTTTCACCCCTTTTCTCTAGAAAGAATGTTAAGAATGCTTATCGGCCTCTCACTGTGGGGGGTGCAGAGCCTTGACTGTTGCACAACTTGTGTGGGAACAGGGCTGCCGCTCAGAGCCCCAGCCCAGACAGGAGCAAGTGCTGGGTCTGTCACTATAGAGGCCCAGACAAAAATTCCCTTCCCTTCCAATTCTTGTGGACAAAGCCTGGGCCTCCAGGAGCTGCTGAGGGCTGAGGCCTCCATACCCCAGCCTCCTGAACCTGACTCCAGCAATTCCCTCCACCCAGGGAAGATAGACAGATGGGGCCACCTGCCCATGTAAGCCTGATGAATGAGACAGGCAGGGGTGTGTGGGGTGGGGGGGAGGTTGGGCTGTGGGGGTGGAGGAACAGCCTGAAGGAGACCAGTTCCTTGGCCCAGGCCATGGGCAGCTTTTCCTAGAAGTCCTAGTACTTCAACAAGAAAAACGTAGGCAGAGTGCAGCTCCATCCCTATGGTGTCCTGATCTCCCTGGCCTAACTCATCCTGCTATCCAGGTGATGCTACTGAAACTAGAGGGAAGAGGGAAGCTGAAATGAAACACAGACACTGCATCACCATCTTTATAGGAACAGGCAACTACAGGTAGTGCTGGCCCATCTGGGAGAGGACCTAAATGCCAATTAGAGTCAGACACACAGGCAACCCACCTTTGCCCCTCCAGTCTGGGCCCTGAAAGCCAGAATGCCAATACCCTGCTTCATTCCTACCCCAGCACCCACCACAGGCCTCCCACACTAGCATGCTCCTGAGGCCCCCCTGGCTCACATCCACAGATGCTTCTGGCTCCCACCCTTTTTTCAGCCACTTTTAACATACTGGGTTCCTGATGCTGCTCCCTGGAGTCCCTATGGATGCCTATTCCTGCTTGTGTTTGGGTATAAGACTGCTTCATCTGGCAAGTGCTACCATGCAACAATGGCTTTTGGAGAGAGAGGCTGAAAGGTTGACAGTTGACTTACAGCTCTTCTCAGGGGACAAGTGTCCTGAAAGTATAAGCTGAGCCAAACATGATCTCTAAGAAAATAGGAAGCTTTTCTTGACTTCCATCCTCTTCTTCCCTCCCTCCTTCTATCAACAACCATTAACTGAGCACTTTCTGTGAACAAGATAGGAGCTGACTATGAAGGAAACATTGTCCTTGCCCTCAAGGAGTTTTCAGTCCGTTGAGGGAAAGAAGTCTGAGCTATGTATCTAACAATATAAGGTGTGACTTAGTAGGTACCACAGAGAGAACATTTCTGGCTAAGAGGAATAATAGCTAGGGACACAACTGTGACAGGCAATGATGGGGATGGCCCAAGTAGAAGGACTAGCAAAGACAAAGGTGCAGTACTAGGGCAACATGGCCGTTTTGGCAGAAGCTGGCAGTTGAGGGGACATGTCACAGGACCTGGCTTTCAGATCACTGGTCTTGGGACACACCTCCACCTGGCAGAGAGGCCGCCATGTGGCTTTTGAGTAGAGTGGTTGTCCCAGTCCAGCCCCCTGACTGCAGATAAGGAAACCAAGGGCCACAGAGGAAATGCCTTCAAATCATCCAGTAAGAAGCAGCAGAACTGAATCTATAATATGAGCTGAGCTGGAAAACCAGACCAGCAAAGGCATGACAGGAATGGGGAAGGCTGAAAACTTGTTCTCATGGCTCTGGTGGGGGCTGCATGGTCCTTAATCAGCCCCATCAGGTATCCTAACCCCATTTTACAGACACACAAACTAAGGATCAGAGACAACACCTAGTAAGCAGTTAATTCAGGCCTGTGTGAGCCAAAATATATGCTCTTGGCAGCAATACTCCCCACCTTCGCAGACAGCACAGCCACTTAGTCACAGTCTCCTTGTTATCATCTGGCCAGTTGCACAATTGGACTTGTTCCCACAGACACCCAGGGTACCTGCTGGCCCTCGCCTGTGCTTTGCAGGTTTCTCCATTTCCCAGATTCCTAGAGGCTGGCCCTCTAGTGGGGTGAGAGGATCACAGAAACAGATCCCAGAGGTAAATGGAGATAAGTCCCTGGAAGCTTCACTGGCCCCAGCTCCATCAGGTGAGAGGAAGCACACAGCCTCTCACATAAACGTGTCCATGCACCCCCAGTGCGTATGTGCGCGCGCGCACACGTGTTCAGACACAATGGCTCAAAGGCCAAGCAGCCGGGAAGCCTACTTTGTACTGCTAACAAGGGGACTGTAATTACAGGAAGGGGCAGCCGGGCAGATAAAAGGATACAAAATTTCAACATCTGTTGCCATAAAGGGATAAGGAGAAGTGAAACGCAAAGTATCAGTTTGGTGTCAGCAGGCAAAGAGCCAATTTCAAAGAGATTGGGGACAGGGGGCAAGAAAGAAAGAAGGGGGAGAAAGAAAGAAATTACAGGGTTCCTTAAAGAGGTAAAGAAAAAAAGAGAATGAAAAAAGCTGTCAGTAATACTTTCAAAGGAGAAGGCAGATACTTTAAAGAGGGGCAATTCCTGTAATCACCCTGACTGAAGGCCAGACCCCTGCACAGGGTGTGGGCGGAGGGCTAGGGGCAGAGACAAA